TACCCTAGGCAGGTTACAATATAAAGGAGCATAGAAAGAATCCTTGTACTTGCACATACTTACAATTGTTGCAGCATCCGCATAAACACATGATCAAAATTCAGGCACATGGCATTCAGCATGTATTTACAATAGTTGGAGTGTCCCAGCGTCACATGATCACCCTCTGTGACCTTCCCAACAGCTTCTGACAAGCGAAGTCCATGGGGAAAGCTGGATTTGCTTAAGGACCACATGATTCACTTAAAAGCAGCAGTGATTTAGTTAACCACCATGGCAAAAAGATCATAAAATTGGGCACAACTCACTTAACAGTCTCTTTGCTTAGCAAGAAATTATGGTTCCAATTGCGTTCGCATTGCTCAATATACAGTATTTATTGTATTCATATCTGGATAGCTTAAAGGCCAGTATTGTCCTGTTCTGAAAACAAAATAGAACATTGGTTTGACCTGATAATAGATTTCTGTAAGAACATAGAATCTGTGGATAAACTCTATGACAGATAATGTGGTTTCTTAGATTTATGATTTAGCAGACTAACCATAGTTTTTGTAGTGGTCTTCAGTCAGACAGTGAGGAGGTTGGGGAGGAACATGGGCCAGTCCTGGAGTCTGAGGAAGGCTCAGATGAGGGGTCTGTGTTGGAGGCAGAGAATGGGATAGGGCCATCTGGGAGTTATGTGCTGCCTCCGGAGCCTCCAGAGTGGGACATCAGCGAGGCAGAGGAACAGAGAGAGCCTGTTCCCAGTGCCTGCATGCACAGAGCTGCCAGAAGGCAAGAACAGTTAAGACAAAAGGGATGACTCGGGAGTAAGGCTTGGAGATGATTGGCCCCTCCCATAAGACATAAAGGAGAAGCAAAGGCACGTGAGCCTTTGCTGGAAGCAACTTTGTTCGTTCTGGTCGATTTAAACTCTGAAGTTCCGTTTTGACTCTGTGCTTTGTGTGTCCTTGCAAAGCTAATTGCAATTAGGTCTTTGACAGTGTTTCAAGGGAGATAAAGGTGGGTGCTTATCAGCCTTATCCCAAAAGACTGTGGCAGACTTCTGTTGGACT